ATCTGGAGCGTGCCTTGTGACGTCAAAATCGACAAGGGCGTGGCTTCGGACTCCACGAAACGGACGCAGGAAATGTGCTCGGGGCGGATCAAAGCCGTGAGGAGGGCCAGGCCGGGAACGTCCGCCATGCGCTGTGCCACCGACATCAAATGCAAGGTCCCCTCCACTGATTCTTGCCCGTCCGTCGTGCTGACGTCCCCCGTCCTCTCCCCCTTCCTCTCCCCCGTCCTCTCCCCCGCCCTCCCCCTCTCCATGGCATACCCCGTAATGGCCATGTGTCTGGCCGCAGGTTCTGCCAGAGCAGGCACGCTTGTGCGGGTTCGTTGAGACCCAGATTTCCTCGTGGCGCGCGAAAGACGTCTTCCTTCTAGAAGCTTTCCTCCTTCCACGGCGCTCCTTGTCCCGAATTTCACGCGTTTTTCTACAGGATACAGGCAGCTGACCACTGGTCGAGGTCAAGGAATGAGGAGTGAATTAAGGACGCAGGAATGCGCTTGAGAGCATGTCAATGCGATTCATGAGCAGGGCATGGGACAGAAACATATGCAGAGCCGACAATCCTCTCAGCAACAGGCCAACCATACCCGGACACGTGGCGAAGGTCGTGACAAGGGCCATGAGCACAAAGATGGTGAATTGCTCTACATCGATCACTCCAGCGTCCAGCCCCAGATTTAGTACAATCAACTCGACGAGACCTCTGGAGGGTTTTAAGCGGAAGGAGAATGTGAGGGTCCGGGAGCCACGACGGGCTCGTCCCTTGGGAACAGCTTTCTCCCACCCCTGTTCCCCCTCGTCCTAATCCCGCGTTTGCTCGATCTCTCTTCCCCTCGGTCCTCCTCCCCCTTGCCGGATACTCGCCGTGTATTCATCAAAGCCCCCACGCTGAAACTCTCGCGCCAGGGCATCTTCCCTCCCAGGCGAGCCGCAGCGGCGCATCCTACAAATTTCCCCACCACGGCAATCGTCAACACGAGGAGAAAGAGCAGGAACGCCCGAAGGCTAGAAAGACTGGCTAGCTAGGGAAAGGGCGAGAGAGGGGCACATGGGCCATCAGCCGAAGGCTGCATAGCCTCGGTCTACCAAGAAAGGTCTCGAAACGAATGCGCGTCCCTCCACCTTTTGGCCCGGAAGGAGTGGCACAAGGGAGGCCCCTGGTGGGATGACCTCTTGGGCTATCTGCCGGTGCGACCGGACATAATTTCCTCCTCCCCGTGACTCTGGCTTACCCACCTCAACCAAAACTCATACCCATGTCTCCCCACCTGTGTTCTGAGCCCAGACGCGGCAAAATACAGCGGGAGGAAGACAATGGAGGCAAAGTCCTCGATCGTTTTCGCAAGCCGAAGGGTGGAGGGGTTGATGGGAAAGGCGAGGCCGAGCAAGAAGGAGCCGAAGATAGTGTGCACGCCAGCCAGATCCTGCAGGTGACGCGATAAATTACGGTCAGTGCCGTGGTAAATCGATGCAATGGACAGAGGTGCCGCGCTGTGCGAGAGCCCTACCACATCCAGGATCGGGAGGACTATGTCAAGTAAGCAAGAAACAA